CCCCACGCCCCCTGTCCCAACAAACACAGCAGCCATTAAGAACGCCTCAACATTTTAAGCTCTGTGAATATACACACGTGAACGTTTAGTCCAGAGTTTGGGTGTCCCGGCTCGTCCTCCGGGGGTTTGTGAGCCTGTGTTTGAGACAGAGGCTGAAAAGAGGAGCTGCAGCAATGGACAGAGTGACGCTCTCTGAACATCAGAGCAAATAAATAACACAAATCAAAACCACGAAGGTGAATATGAATTTGTCTCCTTTAAGCCTCACCAGCTTCGCAGGGCCGTGTGGACACCGAGCAGGAATCCTGACGCGCTGAGGACGCGTATTTCTTCAGAGCAGGTGGTGCCGCCCACGAGCCTCAATTCATCTCGGAGAAGAAAGCGCAGGAACTTTTGGGCAACGTGGAAGAAAATTTATGAAAGTGAATATCCCTCTTATTTTTTGTGTTTAGTGGGAACTCATGAGGATAAAGTACAGTGTTGCCTCACAAATCACAAAGCCCCTACAGGGAGGTAGCTGTCTCTGGCAGGTGTAGATAACACTATGCTGCTTTTATGGTCTTTTCACAGACAGTGAGTTATTGTTTCAGTTGTGTTGCTGGTGTTGTTTTTTTATGGGGTCTACAGAATCACCTGTACCAAGTGTCCTGGAAACCCATTAAGTAGGTTTTGCATAATCCTGCTGACAAACAAACGAACCAACTGACGACGGACAGGGATGAAAGTAAAACGTCTTGCTGAAGGTAATGGAAGCTAACGGAGGGTTTAACCCGACAAACACGTAGAGGACACGGAAGAAGAAGTAGAAATGGAAAGTCGACAAGGAGCGAGATGTGTTGCAAACAAAAACAGACATTATTTTCCACGAGTGGTGCTTCACGTCCGGCCTCCTGCGGCTCCACATCCCTCGACTGAACGTTCTGGAAATGTTCCATTTGTTGTTTGTCTGAGCCGGAGGATCTCCTGCTGCGTCCCTCCTTCTCTGGGAAATGTCCAGACCCAGTTATCATCTCATCAACGAAGAGCCACTTCCTGAAACGTCTGCAGTGTTTCTAATCAGTGCGGTGGCCGGAGGAGGATTTTCACGCCTGCAGGTTTGTGTCAAAACACGATCAGTTTGATGGCTCGGATATAAACTGAGGAGTATCAGGTACGTTTGTCCAATCAGCTGGAAATAACCAGCCCACGTGATCTGAAACAGACCTGAGAGTTCGATGCTGCAATTTCAGCCTGTGTCCATCTCTGGCGTCCATGCACAGCGTCTCATTAACATTAAAAACAGGATCTGACGCTGGTCTGGTCACAGATGTGTGTTTATGGACTCTTGTACTTTCAAATGTTCCTTTTTCTTTGTCAGGTTTGGTCAAACACCAAACAGCCTCTGATGCCTGAGCGGCGAAGACTGTTTTGACAAACACGAGGAACACGATGAATCAGCTGCCAGAGGAGCAGAGACGGACCAGCACAGCATCAGACGACTGTGCGGATCAGGATGTGTTAGCGTCACTGAGCTTCAGTGGCCTTCTCCTGAACGCCCCCCCCCTGTTTGAGACCGCGGAGTATCGGGAGGACAAGCTGCTCTGGAGCTCTTTAAAGAAGCCTGGTTTCAAACTGTGGCGTGAATGTCACAATGATGATGGTGCGAACGCTGGTGGTGACGCGAGGCCTCAGCCAAAACACAAACAGTCTCACAGATGAACAATGCAGCGACAACACGTTTGATCAGAAGGAACCAGTGTAGTTTTCTGAGAGGACCTCCAAACTCCAAACTCCAAAAACTTGTCTTTGTGTTTCAGTTTGACTTTTATTTTAACATCTGCTAGATGTTTTCGAGTCATAATTGTGAGTGAGGGTCAATCCGTCGCTCTGTACCAGAGCAGTGCCCGCTCAGACCCCGCTCATGTCTCTCGTGTCGTTGCTCAGACGACAGCGTTACTTATGATTGGTTGTTTCTCACTTGAAGAATGTCTCATTCTGCTCCGTGATATTTAGCATGTGTTGCATGAGAGAAAATGTCAGCGGGTGTGAAATGACTCAGAGGCTTTGAAAAAGCAGCGATATCTTCGGAGCCGGTCGGAAAATAACAAAAATCCATTACAGCGTTTTTTGAAAGTTCTCATAACTCACAGAACCAAAAAGAGAAGAAAAAAAATAAACCAACCTCGGAGCGGCGGCTCGGCCTGAGATTTTAAATTAGAGCCTTTTAATAGTTTTTGTGATGAGAGCAGGAGAAGGCCGGGGCGGGACGATCACTGCTTTTATTGATCACAATAATGAAAACGGAAAGCCACTAAATCACTCAGCGCTTTTCCTCCGGCACTGCAGACGTTTCATTTTCATAACTTTTCTTCCATCTGGTTCACAACTGATGAGTTCGCTCCCTGCGCTGGTGTTTAACCAGGATTTATAAACACACGCAAACACGGATGAAAGCTGCACACGCCACATGATAACATCTGTTATCTGTCATCATCTTAACTTCGCTTCTCTTCACAGACGAATCCCACATGATGGACGTTGGGTGCCGGAGGTTTCATGTGATTGTGTTTGCTGTGTCTCCTCACGCAGGCTGGAAGGAACAGAGGACAAGTTCAGGAACAGAGAGAGTCGTCCTGAAGACCTGCAGATCATCGCAGAGCTGAGAGACATGGTCTCCGAGAGGGAGTCTCTGGTCAAGAAACTGGTGGTGAGCAGTAACTTCGCCAAGATAAACTTTGTGCGAGCGTAGAAAGAGAAACGCTCATTCAAATGTTTGTTTCCATTATGTCAGCTCGTAGAACGGGATGATGTTGTTTCTACACGACACCAACAACCTGACTTTTAACTTCTAACAGGCCCAAACTTAAATATGGACGAGGTCCGTTTGAACGTCTGTGGATTAGAAAAGTGGTGAAGGACGACATCATTTGTTATATCTGAAGTCTTTATTTAAAGACCGTGTCATCGTTTCACATGGTCACTGGGTTCGTCAGTAGCACGAGGCTACAGTGAAATCTTTAAAACGTTTTAAAGGTGACCTCATAAATCATCCTACACTCGTTGCAGTGAGGTTTCTGATTCACGAGCACGTGTTTGCTTGAGGCGAAAAGTGGAAATCGAGCGTTTGAAAGTAACTTTAAGGTTTAAAATCAGCACGTGGAGAAGAACACGTTTCTGACTGACAGTTTTCGTGACTCTCCTCCTGCAGGACGATAAGAAGTTCTACCAGCTGGAACTCGTCAACCGGGAGACCAACTTCAACAAAGTGTTCAACGCCAGCCCCAACGTAGGAGTTATCAACCCGCTCATCAAGGTAGGTCGGGTCGTCCCGTCACACACGCCGCACACAGGAGCTCGCCGGTGACTCTGCCGCAGAGCAAAGACGATATCCGCTCCATCTCAGCTCATCTCCATCGGTGCTGAGCGATAAATCCTCCGTTACAGGATCTGTTCCTGTTGATTGACCATTAAAAAAAAATCTGCACAAATAGTAGCTCGATGAAATGAATCTCTGAACTCAAAGGGGAACTGCTAAACTTTGTAGAATTGTGTATTTTCTGGTGCTTTAAAGCCCCTGAAAACTTCAGTACATCTCTAAAACTCCTAAATATTTATGATTTATTAAGCAACAAAGTTACATTTTTGAAAAGTCTGCGTATTTCATTTCATACATCATCCGACAAATGTCTCGTTTCAAAGGGTAAAGAACAAGAAACACGGAAATCTCCCAAGTGAAACCAATATTTTCAGGGCCTTTAAAGCTCCCGGTGCACCATGGGTAACATGATATTTCTTCACCGTGTGTTGACGCCACCCCCTCCTGTTCTATAACCTCCTGTGTTTTTGTTCCCACGTGTATTTGTTCCACATATGTGTATATGTGACGCGTGTCCACTGCTTTTTCTTTGTGTGCGTTAACGTGCGAGTGATTCTTCCTCTGATGTTTTTATCTCCTGCTTTCCTTTGCTTCCAAGCCATTTGTTGGTGTGAGATGTTTCCTGCTCTGACACATCTCCTCTCATCTGAGTTCCCATCCTGCTCAGGTGCTTAAAGACTGAGTGACGCCAGTCTTCAGCCCTTCACTCTGCTCTGATCCACACATAAGTTAGCACGCCGCTCGTCTCCTGTCTCACGCCACCGACTGGACTGTTACGACCTCTCGAGCTCTCCATGTTCTCCATTTGCCCTTTTTTTTTTTTTTTTCCCCCCCTCCTCCATTTCTTCTTATCCTTTGTTATTATTTTTTATTTTAAACTTTCCTTCTCCTCCTGGTTTGACCCTCGTGCCCCTCCTTTTCTTTTTTTGTTTCTGTGTAGCAAAAGAAAAAGAATGAGAAAACAGCCGCCAGCAGATTGAGCAGCTCTCCTAATCTCAGGGCTCTGGAGGCGGCGGGCATGGGCGTGGTGGGCACCGGGAGCGGGCTGCCCCCGCAGCCCCCGCATCCCCCGCCCCCGCCCCCAGCCCAGCCCGGCCGTCTAGAGCCCCTCCCCAACTCCCCCCTCCACCACCTTGAGTTCAACTCCAACAAACCTCTTCCCCCGCCGACCCCTCCCACCGAACCCAAGAAATTCATGAGGTGAGACCTTTTCAGCCCCGACGGGCGGCGAGCGGGTCGACCCACGCATCACTCATCCAATTACCTAGAAAATCCTACTTGTTAAAAACACTTTAATGAATTCACTCTATGATCGGAGTCAAACCTTGATCGTGGAAACTTTACACTCGGCCTCAAAATAACAAAAAACTTCTGACTGAAAGAAACTTTATCTGATGTTTTACTTTTTTATCTTCCTGCCGAGTCGGGCGCCGTCAGGAACCACCTTGAGTTCACGATCATCAGGAGCTGATTGTAAATGAACATTAACAGACACACTCTGGTGTTTCACCTCAAACTCTGCGTTCTCACACAGATTTCAATGTTTACGTGGCAGCGTCACCACAGACGTTCATTATCAAGGATCAATCCTAATTAAGCAAATGTCCTCTTCCTGGATCGGTCAAACGTATTGTCTCTGACTGTTTCATGTTCGAAATAAGAATCTTACAAATACAAATACACATGATGGAGACACGTATGAGGAGATTTAGGGTAAAACAGTTCATGACGACACTGAGTGAGAAGTTTAAAACTCTACTTAACCTCCAGTGTTTAAAAAAGAAAAACAAAACGACTTCATTTAATCAGATTACATCTTTTGCACTTTTTTCGTTTATTACATTTATTGTGAAACTCTCTGCGTCACGGCTCTTTCATGATAAACATTTGAATGTAACCTGAACATTCACACGACTGAAGCTCCAATCAATGGCCTTGGAATTCAAAAGGGGCATGTTTTTATTTTCTATTCCTCCTCTGTCAGTCTGAACGTGTTCATTGCGCATGTTTCCCCTTTTTCCGTTATTGTTGTTCGCATTTGTCGTAACCTTTTTTGTTGTCGTTTGTGAATCTGGTTTTTTTTTTTCTCCTCATCCTCATCTTCATCTGAATTTCAGCATGTTTCACTCGTTGCACTTTTCCTCCTCGAGGCCAAATGGGATTTATCTTTTCATGTGCAAAGTAAATAATAAAGGGGTTTTTTTTGTCGTGAGAACTCACAGTGAAGTAGATATTGTCTCTCGCTGTCGTGGACAGTCCTCTCTTCGTGTGGTGGTGTTTTATTTTGAAATCTCAACAGATGCCTCTCTGATTGGTCCCTGTGGTCTGACGTGACGGGATGATGAATTATCTAACATGCTTCTAACATGAATACATGCGGTGTGTGTATGTGCATGCCAGGAAGTGTGTGTTCAAAGCACCGTTCTCTAGGTTTACAGCATGTCTGAGGGTGTGTGTGTGTGTGTGTGTGTGTGTGTGTGTGTGTGTGTGCGTGCGTGCGTGTGTGTGTGTGAGAGCATGTTCTGGATATGTTTTAAATCATCCTGCTGCATGTTCTGCTGATGTTTGTGTAAAGAATGAGACGGGACGGCTGCTCTGTTATCGTGGGACCTTTCAAACCACGACACACACACACACACACACACACACATTAATACACAACAGTGACATTAGATTGTTCCTCTTGTCCTCACTCACTCTTTGTTCTCGACAAACATTTGAAAACAGACCCGGAGTCTGATTGTAAATCTGATCCTTTAAAACATTTAAACTGAGAAAAAGCTTCAATTCGATGACGGAGTTTATTGAAATGAATTAAACCGTCGGACTTTATCGTCTCGCTGAATATCAATGAGTCGTCCAGATATTAACGAGCTTTTGTTTGATTTAGGACAGATTGATTAATATAAAGTACGTAGGAAATATAAGAGTCCCTCGTCCCACTGTCTGGAAATGAAGCCAAAAATAAAATAATACAAACGCAGCATATTAGAGATGATTTAATTCACTGATACACAGTAAACTGGTTTATATTAAGGTCATAAAACTCATAAAACAGAGTATCAGGGCTTTTAAAACGCAGTATTTTTATTTAATAGCAAATAAAAGCTGCAAATGTGCTGTGGTGAAGAAATGTATTGAAGCAGTTAATAATTTAATCAATTCACAGACTCAAACTAAACATCATTTATCAGACTGAGCATATAGAAGAGAAGCATTCTGGGAAGTAAAGCTCAGAGAATAGCACGAATGTTTTGGGACCGTTTGTATGAGAAGGGGCCAATTAAGGAAGTGGACCCGGAGGTTGTTTGTTGTGACGGATGCACAAGCTCATAACTAATGAGTTTAAAAAGTTTGGGAAGCTGCTTCTTTCCTTCCCACTGAGGGTCAGAGTCCGTTAGAGCTGCAGCTTCATGTCACGTTTCTCTGGTTATGAGAGAAAACTTTTTGTTTACTGGTGATGCTGCTGTTTAGATCCAGAATCACACACACACACACACACACACACACACACACACACACACAAGAGATGCTAATTTATAAAATACAAAATGAAAGAGTACAAACTTTCTTGAGTAATGCAGACGAACTTTGCTCGGACCTTGAAAAGTGATAGAAGTTAAAATCTATCTAATCTAATCTACGAAGTGACCAAACAGGAGAAAAGTGAACAGAAGAGACGGTCGAGGATTAAACACGAAACCATGAGTCACAGGTTTAAAGAACACGAGGATGATGTCGCAGGTTTTGAACAACATGATTCCAGACATGAGTGTAAATGTGTCTGTGCTGCTCTCTGCTCTGTGACTCTGCTGCCTCCGTGTGGACGCAGAGCTCCATCACATCTTGAGATCCTGGTGGTCTTCAGGTTCAGACTGAACTTTAAATTAAATCCAAACATAAATTCACTCCCTGATCGACAGGAGTTAGAGGAGGTCTGACGTGAGGCTGCAGAGAACAGCAGAGAACAGTGGACTGTGTTTGACGCGGGAAATCAAACCCGACTTTATTTATACAGAACTTTTTCGACAAATCAAAAGTTATCCACAGAGCTTTAGAGGTGGTCGCCGAAACGCAGGATCTTAAAATCAAAAACAAATGTGTTAAACATTTGGATTTAATGATCAAGAAGCACTGGAGCCTGATATTTATCACAAAAACACACATGAGAGAAGAAGAGTGTAAAGATCCTCTGCTACGAATCCTGTTTTCAAAATATACTTCAATAAATACAGTGATGTTTAAATATCAAAAATACAAAATGTGTATTGTGTACGAGTATCGCCTTTAATTGTTTTCTTATCAAACCTTATCACATTAAGACATTTCTGTATATACAGATCTTTATTGTACATGTGCATAATGTGCATTTTATACAGAGTTTTGAGACAGAGTGTTATTTTAAATCTGTTAAACATTGCATCATATCTTTGAACACAATTGTACGTTTTGTATAATATTAATAATAGTTTTCTACAGTAACTAAACTAGTAAATAGTAACTTCTACCAAATTAATGTAAGATTTGACTGTAAACAAAATAAACAATATATAAATAAGTACGAGAGCTTCAATATTATACTTGAGTACATGACTTGATTCCTCTGTTACTTTTGACTTCTGCCTAATATTGATCTTGTCTTTCAAAAATATGTGAAATGAAACTGTGGAATACTCGCTGACGTTTCTCTCCCTTGTTTTATTTCTTCGATTGTTTTCTTTTTGCTGCTCTCCCGTCCTGAAGCCCTCCTGAAACTAAGAACGCCACCATCGACTCCCCGGACGCTCAGCGCCAGGAGTGGTTCGCTCAATACTTTTCCTTTTGATTGACCACGAACCTGCAAACACGAGGATTCAGCATGTCGACCAAACTTAAGAAAAAAAGAGAATAAAAACAGAAAAAAAGAGAAAAACTGTTAAAACTATTTGTTCTTTCTTGTCATTGATTTGGGATCAATTCACTTTGGATTCAGTCAACTGAAGGTGTCGCTGTGAGAGGATGAATGATTATTGATCATCCGTCTGTCAACGAGCCGCACAGAACCTGACGTCATTCGTTTTCGCCCCGGTAGAAATGATGATCCACTTCCTGTGGTTGGCTGAAGGTGAAGGTGAATTGAACCTGACGTCATCACTGATCTGATTCAACTGCTTGATTCTATCTGATTGTTTCACTGTGGACGAGTTTCTCTCTTAGTTACAGTGACATCAGTACGTTCGATGTTTATTTCATTTCTTTACTTCTCAGTTTATTTTGCAGTTTCTTTGGACTAGAGAATAAAACGAGTGGTGCATCATCATGCTGCTAATTGCCATTGTTGGACTAAGAAGTATATATATATTTAAATATATATATATGTATATGTATATATATATATATACATATATATATAAATATATAAAGAAATCTATGGTAGGTTATTGTGCTCTCTCTGTACGTGCATACAGCGTGTCAGAGCTGGACGTCTGATCCAGGACCAGCTCGCCTCCTCATTCCCGGCGACATTTCACACGGGCCTGACCCTGGATCAGCTGCAGAGCTCTGACCTGCTCCATGAGTTAGGACGAAACCATCATGGCCAGTTTGTTACAGCTGCATAGAAGTTTCAGCAGATTTTGGTAGAATATTAAAACCTGTTTGTATGGTTGTCTGTCTCAACACAGATATAATGATGTCTCACCAATTTTAAAAACAAAAATAGCATATTTTATATTTATATTATAATGTGTATGCTTAATAAATAATTATTGTGACATTTTCCCGGGTTTGCTCGTCGTTTATTGGGATGAATGTGAGAATGAACTTGTGTTTTCTGCAGCTTGAAATTTAAAAGTACAGGTTGTTCCTTCGCCTGAGTTGGCCCTGCAGTTCTCCAAGTGACCGGTGGAGGGCGGTGTGGCTTCTCCCTGAGGCTGAACCGGAAGAGGAACGCACCGCAGTCTCTTCCTGTCGGGAACATGGCGGCTCCGGGAGCCGGCTCTCCGGCTCGGCTCGTCCAGTACATCGTGGTCCGGTCGGACCTGGTCCACGCGCTGTCGTGGCCCCTGGGGGCCGTGATCACCCAGGCGTGTCACGCCGCCACCGCCGCGCTGCACGTGCACCGCTCGGACCCGGAAACGGTCCGGTACCTGGAGCAGCTGGACTCCATGCACAAGGTGGTGCTGGGGGTGAGACCGGAGCTGCTCCACATATTTCACACTTCACTGCAGGAAACACTCTCACTGCGCCCGCAGAGGTGCTGTCGGATTCATAACGACAGATTTCAGTGTCCGCTGGTTCCTGCTAATGTTCGGCGTCATTGTCTGTCAGATAAACGTTTTAACAGCAGCGCTACACCTCGTTGTTTTTAGCCAACGAGCTAACTCTTAGCCAACGAGCTAACTCTCATCAACCTAATCACAAGTGGTTTAGTTTTTCAAATCTCGATGTGACTTCAGCTTCAGTGTCTGAGACTTTTAAATCTAAAGTAATGCTGGTGATGTTTTCACCTGTTTCATCCAAATCTACTTTAATGATGAGAGAGACTCAGATGTTCAAAGTCTCTACCAGAGAGAACATCAGCTGCTGAGCTCATGACAAACAATAGATTGATAAAAGTTTATTATTCCAACATGGACACAATTAATTAAGAAGATTCTCTAATGAACCTAACACACAAACGAAATCTCCACATTCCTGAGTGTGAACGTTTCTTTTGAGTCGATGAGCTTCACGGTTGAGAAGATGTAAGTTCCTTCAAACACGCCGGACTTAGAGAGTTTCAGATCTGAGCAATTGTTGTCTCTGATATTAGATTCTCCTCCCGTTGCGCTTTGCTCGAAATCATAACATGCATCATCTCAAGGCTCTTTACACGAGAGAGAAACCAACGGTTCCCACGAGGAGCATCGGTGTGGAGAGAGAACATCTCCTCGTTAGCTGGAAGAAACCTCGAGAAGCAGACTCAGTGTGGACGACGTGATTCTAGAGTAAAGAAAACAACACCAGGATTATTTAATATTCAGTTTCTGTCATCAGATCCTTTCACCTGAAGCTCTAAGAGCTCTGTTTGTATTCATCATAGGTCTACACAACCATTCAATTCTGTATTATCTTGGTTTAAGTGTGTGTGTGTGTGTGTGTTTGTCTGTAGATTCCAGATGAAGCCGCCCTCACAGGTCTGTCAGAGACCCTGACTCAGGCCGGTGTTTCCCACAAGCTCTGGATCGAGCAGCCGGAGAACATCCCCACGTGTTTGGCTCTGAAGCCGTATCCCAAAGAGACGGTGCAGCCGCTGCTGCGCAAGTTCAAGCTCTTCAAATGACCTAATGAGCATCCAAAGACTCTGTCGAGGCCTCGGAGGCTCCACTTCATCAGAACCTGTTCACAAAATGACCCGAGAGCGTCGCACGGCTCGTCTGTATGAGAAACTGTAATCCACAAGATTAAAATAAGGGACAATGCAAAATGTGTGAAACTGTATGAATTTGTTCGGATTTTACAAACACAAAATATACCTTTAGTAATATTTATTGGAGTTTAATGTTAACATGATTCGTTATTAATGTGCCACGGTGTCGTGATAAGTTGTATTGACACACACACACACACACACACACACACCTACCATCTGAAGTCTTCCCTCAAGCTCCTGCAAACACACAAGTTGTAAAACCTGCTTCTGATTATTTTCTGGAATCAGTTATGATCATGTTATTTCTCCTGTATACAGAAATACAAAATGCTTCTGAGAGTATCTGTTAAAACTCTAATAATGATGTAGTACTCAGTATTACTGATTGGTCGTGTGTCTCTTCGCCGCCTGTAGTTTGACGTGACTCATGAACTCGTGGGAGTTTCAGCAGATTCATCATCGTTTGTTTCGGTTGTTCATGTTTTGATAATTGTGGGTGAGCGAGCTTGAGGGGGGGAGGGAGAGGGGGGGTTGGAGTCTTGACTCACACACGGTGTCTCACTCTATAAACATCCTGTAACGTGACCATGTTTACTGTACGACACGTGCTCCCTCTAAGTATCATCACAGTATCAAGTATCATTTGAGCCTGTGTGCCGTCGAAGGGTGTGCGTCACCTGTCAGTCAAAGAAAAGGGAATCGGATCAACATGTGGATCCAGAAACTTTAGTTTCACGATGTTTCATGATGAATAAATCCTTTATCTGCTCCGGCCCTGGTAGTGTCATGCTCTGTGGTGAGGTCTGAGTTTGTTAAACGTGGTTTCGTAAAGCGGCCGCTGAGCCTCGGAGGAGAGCTGCACTCTCCGAGTTTTAAATAACGTAACTGAATTAATTGTCTCGTGTTGTTCGGTGAAGACGTTCCCTCACGTTGTCCTCAGTCTTCTGGAGCCTCATGAATAATGCAGCTGCAGCGCATCAGACAGGAAGCAACACCAGACACTATGGATTCAGTACACACACACAGACACACACACACAGACTCACACGCTGCTGCACGAGGTCGTCTGATCACTGCAGCTGAACAGACTCTGTAAAATCAGACGTGTGTGTAGAATAAAGAGCCGGAGACACACACAACAACAAACACACTGCACATCACACACTGTGACTGCATCATTTGCTGTGTAATTGTTTTGCTCGTGGACTTTTTGTGTCTCTTTGTTGTCCTTCGTCGTGGTCGTTGTGTGTCTCTCACTCTTCGGTCAGGTGGCAACAACACAGACACACAAACAAATGACACGACCTTGCTCTGTTCTTTGTGTGTCTCTGTGGTCATCATGTGACTTCATCGTTTGTCAATTTCTGTGTTATTGTTTTATTGTTTTGTGGTTTTACTTTGTGTCTCTGTTGTCGTCGCGTGCTTTAAGACAACAGACAAAACACAACACAACCAGGGTTTGTGTTGTGTAGTCTGTGGTCATTGTGTGTCTCTGTGTCTACCTTTCTCTGAAATCCATGCTTAGCTTTCTAATGGTTGTGTGTCTCTTTGTGTGTCATGTTGTGGTTCCTCTGGTCAGGTTTTGTCTCATTGTAGTAGATACATGATCTTCATCAACACACACGTTCTTCATCACACGTTCTTCATCTTCATCACACACATGTTCTTCTTCTTCTTCATCATATCACATGTTCTTTTCCTTCTTCTGCATGTTCTTCTTCACACATGTTCTTCTTCATCATCTCACATCTTCTTCTTCTTCACACATGTTCTTCTTCATCATCTCACATGTTCTTCTTCATCTTCATCATCTCACATGTTCTTCTTCATATTATTCTTCATCACACATGTTCTTCTTCATATTATTCTTCATCACACATGTTCTTCTTCATGTTCTTCTTCTTCATCACACATGTTCTTCTTCTTCATCACACATCTTCTTCTTCATCACACATGTTCTTCTTCATGTTCTTCATGTTCTTCTTCTTCATCACACATCTTCTTCTTCTTCATCACACATGTTCTTCTTCTTCTTCATCACATGTTCTTCTTCATGTTCTTCTTCTTCATCACATGTTCTTCTTCATGTTCTTCTTCTTCATCACACATGTTCTTCTTCTTCTTCATCACATGTTCTTCTTCNTTCTTCATGTTCTTCTTCTTCATCACATGTTCTTCTTCATGTTCTTCTTCTTCATCACACATGTTCTTCTTCTTCTTCATCACATGTTCTTCTTCTTCTTCATGATCTGCTTCTTCTTCATCACATGTTCTTCTTCATCACACATGTTCTTCTTCATGTTCTTCTTCTTCATGATCTGCTTCTTCATCACACATGTTCTTCTTCTTCATCACATGTTCTTCTTCTTCTTCATCACATGTTCTTCATCCCACGGAGGCTTCTGCCCGCCCCGGGGGCGCGCATGGACGCTCCTCGTGCACGAGCAGCCCTGTTTGTTTGTGTTGAGAGCTTGGAAATGGCGGAGAGCGGAGAACGAAGCGATAACTTGGGTTTGCAAACGCGAGTGCGCCGACATTGAAACACGGAAACCGACCGCGAGCGATTCGCGGAGCCGACGAGGATTCCCCTCAGCCGATGGGACACGGGTCGGACTCGGCCAGAGGAGGATTCGTGGAGCGAGGTCTGGATTTAGCAAGGTGGTTAGCCAGCTAAGCTAACCGCGCTAGCAGCTCGTCGTTAGCTCCAGCGAGTCGCGCTGGTTCTTTCCACGCAGCCGCTTGTTTGTCAACAGAAGCGGACGTTGAACCACCAGCGAGCCCGGCGACGAACACGGTCCCGATGTGACCCCGTCGACTTCGTCCCGGGGCCGAGCGCGGAAATCTCACGGTGAAGTTACGAGTGGATTAAAAAAAAAAAAAAAGGAAAGAAAAAAAAAAAAAAGTCAAGACATCGGACTGTCCTGTAAGTTAAGCTGGTTAGCTGGTTAGCTGGGGCGAGCTAACCGCCGCTGTCTGG